CTACTACTACTACTACTAGTACCGCCTACTACCCACTACCACTACTGTACTACCTGCGACGACAACTCCTCCTCCTCCTCCTCGTCCTGCTACCGCTACCGCTACTGCTAGCCTTGCTCCATGTTGATTGTTGGTTGCCAGTATGGTTGGGGCCAGTGTCTTGGCACATATTCTGGGTCGTGACAAGATCTAGGGCCCGCCTCGTGTTTGCAGCGGCGGGGGTCACCACGGGAGAGGAGTGGTGGAGAACTATCCCTTTCAATGCGGAGTGGGCTAGCCGGCGGCTACCTGAACCGAATACTGCTGATGTGTTTCATGTAAGGTCACAGGCTGCATTCTCGACGAGAGCAATGACAAGGCTTTCATGTACACATGCGTCTGCACGTCCGTCATCGTTTGTCTGTCAGTCTTTGCTTGTCCGTCTGTCTGGTCTGTCTCAGTCCCGGTCTAATTGCAGAGGCAAAAAAGATTTCTGTGAGATGTGTTCAATTGAATCGACGCCAGCCCTGGCCGGAAATGGTACGTCGAACTTGTTCCAACGGCGGGGTGCACAGTTGCGCTACCATCGGATGACACACAACGTAGCGCCTTCTCCAGTGCAATCTTTCGCTCGAGTTCGCTGGCCTCACGAAGAAATCGCGCGGACCCAGGCCGAGCATGTGCAGATTGACTTAGGAATTTAGGATTCTAGAATTTAGAAACCACCCAGGGCATGCATCGTACAGTGCATTGACCATTTGATGCGTAGCCTATATGGCCAAGCCACACTCATAGCTTCTTCCGGCTTCTGCTCAGGCTCTTTTTCCTTGCAGACCAAAGGCAGTGCCTGCGCCAGCATGCTGAATCCACCAGATATAAAGCCCACGCATGCACGCACACACGCACACACACACACACACACACACAAGCAAATTGTTCTATGATTAAGGGTCGCACTTCACTTGCTAACCTCCCTGCGCGAGTTTTCTATCAAAACCAACGGATCCCAGCTTGCTGCTCGTCTTCACGTGGCTGACTCCCTGAAATACGCCAAGCAGCCTGCTGTTTCGGCATCGGTCTGCCCTTGGTCTGGCGGATCGGCACTGCTTCTTCTTTTTTCTCTTTTTTCCGATCCTTATCCTTATCTTTGTCCTTCTTTTTGTCCTTCGGGGGAGTCTCCGGACCCAGCGAAAACAAGAGTGCTTATGCCGCACGAGCTCCTTCTTGCTCTTCTTGCCGCTGGGTGTTAGGGGCGAGCTCGGTGCCGCCGGCGCTTTCGGCTCAGGGGACAGGATCTGAGACAAGAGCGGTCGCTTGCCAGCTTCCTTCCTCAGATGACAGCAAGAAAAAGAGTCACGGGCGTGGGATGGGATGGGCACCTGATCATGCGATGTGCTGTGCTGGGCCGAGAGTCTCCCTGGCCATCCGCTCCTTTGCCGCCTGAAGCTTGGCCTTCAGCTCATCCGAGGCAGACCTCAAAGTCTCGCCGGCAGGGAGTCTAACGAGTAGAGTCTAGCCTACAGTAGCTGCCTACCTTTCCAAGGCCCAAAGGCTTTGGTTTGGGATTGCCATCAAGCGATGCCAGGCGACAGGACCGGCGTTGGCTCGGCCGAGGCAGATCGCCCTTTCTTCTGCTCGAGCTTGGTGCGCAGGTCCTGTGCCGCCGCACGCATGTTGGCCATGCTGGTGGATTCACACCGGCGCAGTAGCAGGACTGCGACGTCCATTCCCGTTTCAGCGGCAATGTGTTGAAACAATGAAGACCTGGGGTCGTAGAACCTCGTTGGGCCAGGGAGGCCCTTGGATGATTGTACAAGGGGGAGCGAGATAAACATTTGGTGACACAACCCAAAACACATCACCGAACGGGGAAACTAAACTCGTTTCCCCCTGACACCCATCGACCTCTAAGACTTACATGTGCATCAAGCTTTTTGCGAGGTACGGCCGTGTATTCACTGATAGACCTGCGCCTTCCCGCAATGACGACAAGTACCGTCTGTTTTGTCTCCGAGCCTACAAACTTCAAGCCTCCAATTGGATGGCTCGGAAATGTCAACACGTCAAATCCAAAGTACCCTGTTGGACGCGCTCTGTCCCTGACAGATGCTTTGGACACCGCCCGGGTCTCACCGGACTGCTTGACCTGGAGGCAAGGCATACACGAGGAAAACACGCAATATCCTGACCTGAGTGTGGAGCTTTGGGGTACTGTGGCATACGAAGCGGATGGCTTTCCAGCGTTGGCATGGGGTTGCACTGCTCATGATACAAGTACATGGCGCTAACTGTCATTGTAAACGCATGCAAACTAGATGCACCTACCAAAAATTGCATGCAAGCGCACTTCTGCACAGAGTCTCAATCTCTACTCCAGAGCCGAACCTCGAACGTTCGTAGCGCATCCCCCATGGTGTGCCGGTAAATCGTGCGTGCTCATGCCTTCTCCCCGGGCTCCAGAGGATCCGCTGAGCTGGCATCGGGCCGGCGAGGGTCCACCGCCACTTCCATAAAAGAGGCAAGGGAGCCTTCAGCCGAACGCTCTTTCTTGAACGACTTCGAACCATGCTCTCACAGCTGTCTTCGAAGGATCGCTGTTTTGACGTCCTAACAGTTTGACTCAAGATGCACTGTGGCACGGGACTGCGCAGAATGTCTCTGCCGAGAAGCCCAAGGCTTCTGCCGCCTTGACGGCGACATCATCGTCGCTGCCATCATCCATGGTCCATGTGCTGCGTCGGCTAGTTCTAAGTCAGGCTGCACAGTCGACGAGTCGACCAGCAGCCAGGTCTGCCAGCGAGGTTAGGGGTCTCTTTCGAGCGTTCCGAATACCCGGTCCAGTGAGACTGCGCAACTTATGCATGCGCGCATGTCTGGTAAAGGCGGGAACCACTGTTTGGCTGCCTGGAGCTGAAACGATAAAGCTTGTGGCCTTTGGATGGCTCGTTGAAGCTGCCTTGTTTTGGTCGCATTTTGGTCTATACACTTGCAAGCCATGGATTCCATGAGTCTCAAGCCTACTGAACAAAGGCCTTGAGCTGACATGGAAGAAAGAAAGTAATTCACAGCAGGGCCCATACAAGACCAAGTTGACTCATCAAAAGGGTCCGGTGAGCTTCAGGGGCTGGATTTGCAGCTTGAGTTGGGACGTTCCGAAACTGGGACAAGCAAACACGAAGTCTACGTAGGAGTCTGACAGGCGATGCCAATGTCTTATAAGCACAGCAATGCTGATGAAAGGTGAGCAGACGCCACTGTCAGACAGAGCTTGGTCCGAATGTAGCATCACGGTGAGATTCATTCGTACTGTGTCGTAGTTATAGGTCTAGTTGAAGCCGATCCACGACCTTCAGAAGAAGAGTCACGTGACGCGATACGACCGTGAAGCTACCGGTCAGGGGCCCATGCTAGACAAGGTGAGCGAATCGCCCAGGGACTCGGCGATGGGAATCGCCTGTGCACAACACTGGAGCACGGGACACATGCCAGGACAGCAAAGTGACGACACCTCAAATCTTCCTGCCAGCCTTCTCGACAGTGCTGACGACTTCAGCATATCTCATGCCTCGTGCATGAACCTGAGGATCTCGATCGTGCTTTGAAAAGAAACGCACATCAGGAAGGGAAACACATTTATGCACTTCGCAGATGCCCCGTTACCCTTCAGGCCGCAACATCTGCCAAGATCTGGAGAGCCGTCACTTCACCCAGCCTTGGAGCGTACACTTGCGAGACCCTTCGTCGCATATGGAACAGTCAGGCATAACAAGCAATGCTTTTTCCTGGAAGCAGCCTGGAGGCAGTACCTTCAGTCAATCAACACCAACCGAAGCAGCTCTGAGATTCAGTAGCAACACCTCATTGCAGAGAGATCCACGAGATGCGCGTGAAACCACCGAGGGCCTCGTCTCACATCCAGGAGGGACTAGATCCAAACATCGCCGCACCGATGAAGGTAGTGGAAAGGCTGCCCGTGAAAGCTTTTTCAGGAGCGTCTCTTGACAAACTCGTCATGGTTCCTGGAGCGTTCAGTTGAACTGTGTCTGTATGGGGCGAGCCCCGGAGGGTAAAGTGCAGGATGAAGTCTGGGTGGTCGGCAGGTCACTCGATGATGTCACCATGCTGTACCACTTCCAGAGCGAGGCATCGGATGGTCGCTAGGCTGCATGGTCCGGCACCGAGAGTTCTTAGTGCTCAGCGGTAGTGTCTCCTGCGTGTTGCATGAACCGTCTCTTGCACCGGTTGCGAAGTGTCAAAGACAGGGCAAAATATGAGGATGTTTTCCGCACCGTCTCAAACAATGTGTATTGGCTTTGTTGTTCGGCTTGCTTTTGCAACAGGCCCGTGCCCATGCATCAAGAAACCCGTCACAACTCACAAGGACAAAAAACACTCTCTGATTCAAGCACTAGCCAGTCCTCTCGGGTACTTGCAAGTGAAATCGAGAATGGCCCGGCCCGCTTTGCTGGTTGTCTTGGAGCTTCCTTGCAATCCGAAGCTGCTGGGCTGCCAATGGTTTCGCACTGATTGCAACTTCTCTGCTAGGCAGCCACCGGGAGTCTTCAGTGCACTACCCATTACTCAGGCCATAAAGTATCAAGCCACAAACATTCACCTAAGTCCTGAAGCCAGTGCTGCCAGGTCTCGCAGCAAATGGTCTCCACCTGCAAGATGACATGATCGTGAACTCCAGTTGCACTCTGTGTCGAAAAGCCACAATTTTATGTGACTGTCTACGTTTCTCCTGCGGGGTAGGAATGTTACGAGGTGGTTTCAACAGAACACAGGAACACGGAACAAGTTCATGATCACACCCACGGTGTCCCGTATACTGCACAGGCAGGCGATAGACCATGTTGTTGAGCTTTACAGCATTCTGCGCGACGAGGTTGCCAAGTTCTGCGCGAGCTCGCATCTGTACGCACATGCCTACATCCATCAGTGCCCTAAGAGGCACAAGCGGTATAGCATGCCGCGGCAACGATTAGTACTAAGTAAAAGCGACGAACGAAGCAATAAACTTGAAGTACCGGTCGCAGCGATGTCTGAACCCCAACTTCCCCAACCGGGTTATGACACAATCGAAAAAACCGCTCATTGCAAAAACACACTTAGGACACGCAACATGAAACGCTTCAGCCTTTCAGCACCAAGAGCTCCTTTGGATGCGCTGCTGCCTCGAACAGCTCCTGCAGGCTTCGAAGGGCTGGGACTCCAGGCATAAAGTAAAGCATAATTGGTGACAGCGGGGCGGCATGGTACGCCGACACATTACGATGATCTCTGCACAAGGAGTACTGGTAGCAGTGCTGATGGCAAAGGCGACGCAGAACCGTGCCGACAACAACGGAAATCAGTGGCGACAAAGCGAAAGCGGCAGAAGAAGCAGCAAAAGAAGCAACAAAAAAAGAGCAGCAGCTGCAGCAGCAGCACCACTGCCACCGCCACCGCCACCGCCACCGCCACCGCCACCGCCACCACCGCCTCCACCATCATGGAGTTGTTACCTCCCCCCCCTATGCCCCCCCTCCCCCCCCAAGAAACCTTACTAGTAGCTTGCTAAGCGCTTGGCAGGCGATAGTCTCTCAGCAGATGCTTTGTTGGGCCTCGAACCCGCTTTGACCTCTCTGGTATGTTGATCTGTGCGATACATTTGCATCGACCGTACCTAGCGAGCGCTTAGCGAGTGCTTAGCAAGCGCCTAGCAAGCGCTCAGGGTCGTGGTTTGGTACAACACTTTTCT